GTTATTTTTAAAAGCCTGCTTTTTTTTGGATTGATTTTATCTATTTCCTGTTTTTGATTCATTGATTTTTGCTCTCAATTTATTAGTTCTTTTTTCTGCTTAGTTTGGGTTTCATTTGCTTTTCTTTTTCTAATTTTCTAAAGCGGAAACTGGGCCAGGGATATAGCTCAGTGGCACAAGCACCTGCCTGCCAAATGCAAAGTCCTGAGTTTGATCCCTGGTACCAAAAAAAAAAAAAAAAAAAAAAAAAAGTGGAAACTTTTTGCTATTGTTTGTAGCTTGAGTGTATCTCAAAGGTGTTAAAGGATAGTCACCAGCCTAGGAGGTGGTGGAAACTTTAGGAATGGAAGCCTAGGGGAAGTAAGGTAGGTCCCTAGAGATATGCCCTTGAAGAGGATACTGGGACCCCAGTTACTTCCTGTCTCTCTTTGCCTCCTCTGCAGTATACTTTCACCACGATGTGTGGTGCTATTACAGGACCAAAGCAATAGGGTCAACCATAGACTAAACCTTTGAAACTGTGAGCAAAAACACACTTTCTTTTTTAAGTTTTCCGGTACAGTACTTTTTCCCAGGAATGGAAAGCTGACCAACGCACACTACTGATTTTAGATTTTTCTCATAAGTGCAATTAATGTTATAAATTCCCATTATAGCTGCTTTTGCCATTATCTCAAACATTTAAATAAGTTGTATTTTCATTTGCTAGAATTTTCACTTCGTTAGATTTTAAAAATTTCTCTTGACACCTTTTCTTTGATACACTTATCTGGAAGACTGTTACTTCATCTCCAAACACTTTGAGATTTTCTAGCTGTCATTCCCTTACTGATTTTAAATGTAATTCCATTGTGATCTGAGAGCATGCTTAGTATAACTTCTGTTTTGTGGCCCTACTGGTCCACTCTGGGGGCCCAAGGGAGATTTTCAAGAGTGAAGTTCTAAGGTTAAAGAACACACATACACAAGACATCAGCAACAGCAGGCAGCATGGAGCAGAGCAGAACACAACAGCGCAAAGGCACAAGCCAGATCTACCTGTGTCTTTATTGTATAGTTCTTAGGTTGTTATATTTACATTCTCACATAGTGCAGTAACCGGCTGATGCATATTTACCTGTGCTAAGTCATGGTTACATAACTGTCTCCCAGGTGCACCTGCACTAGATAAGTGGGCTCATGTTCTCAGCTGTCCTTAGATGCCCCTGAGCTTTGAAGCAGTATGAGTAGTTCCCTACAGGCCCATAATATAATGTCTTAGTGAATGTTCAATGTATTTTGAAGATGTGTATTCTGTTGATGTTGGGCAAAGTACGTTATAATTATTAATTACATAGATAGTACTTGGTACCACGAAATTGGGTGAGATCACTTAGAGCAGTTCTCCACCCTCTCCAGTCAAATGGAATCATGTTCTCTGGAGGTAGGCCATCAACACTGGTAATTTTGGAAGCTATATTATGATTGTGTGGTGTTCTAGAATTGAAAACCTCTGATACAGGTTTTCAGTATCCACAGAAGAGACAAGAAGTGGGCTAATGACTAAGTCCTGGTATGTTTCAACATTTATTTTTTTTTTTCTTCTGGTACCAGGAATCAAACTCACAACCTTGCGCTTGCCAAGCAGGCGCTTTTGCCACTGAGCTGAATCCCCAGCCCCTGTTTCAACATTTAGAATTTAGGCCCTGGCCTATTTTCAGCAAGAATGCTGCAAGGTCAGTTTAGCCAGAATCCTCTTACCCCTCATACTTCTATTACCTTGGGTGACCATTGGATTCACCTGGGAGTTGATGACTCTTTGCTTAGCCAAATTTTTGGTCAGGCCTTGGTTTTTTTTATAAATTTTTAAAAATGAATGTTTTTTGAAAAGCAACTGTACTTCCACTTCATGGTGACAAACAAAATGTTGTTTTTGTTTTTAAGACAAGGCCTCACCATGTGTTTCAGGCTGGCTTTGAATTCACTACCTATGTAGCCCAGGTGGGCCTTGAACTAGCGGTGATCCGCTTGTCCCAGCCTCATGAGTGCTGGGAATGCACCAACACACTGGGTTTAGTCAGGATTTTGAAACTTACTCCTGGATCCATCTGTGTATTTCCTTGTAAAACTGCTTTAGCAAAAGGACCCTGTTAGTTTATCAGGAACTACTCTATCAGTATCTGGTCAGGCCTCTCATCCTCCATCACCCCTTCAGATGATGCGTGACCACCGTGGGCTGTCTTCAGAAAGAATGCTGCTGGGTTGGTTTAGTCATAATCCCTTGAACCCTGACACTTCTTCGTAGTAACTTTTCCATCCACTGAACTCTATTCACCTCCCTCGATGTAGCCCTATTGCAGTGTCTCTTTACCCACCACAATGGATTTATATGAAGTCTTCCTCATGCTTACCAAATATTGTTGAGTAATTTTTTAACAGAGCCTTTGAAAAATGCTGACAACTGCCTCCCATCAGATTCTGATTTAACTGGTCTAGTGTGTGCTCTGGGTTTCTCATAGTTTTTTTACACTTAGGTGATTCTGAGATAGAAGATTAGAGCATAGCAAAGCTGGCTGGGGACGCAGGCATGACCTGTTAATTGCAAAATCCTGGAAAACATGCACAGAACAGTTCCCAAAGCCCTGAGTGTGGACTTCTTGTGAGAACTTAAGCATATTTTCAATAGGATCGCCTAGACCTGATGTCACCCTGACGTGTTGAATCCCAGCACTGCCTCTCAGGATCCACATGTTAAGTTCTCACAGGTTTCCTAGGGACTTGGACAGTAGAAAAAGACACAGACACCAAAAAGAGGTTGCTATTGTGGCTTTCATAATAGCTTGTTCTGCTTTATCCAGCATGTTTATCATGCTTTTTCCTCTTTTACTCGGCCCAAGCCTGCTCCACAGAGCCAGAATCTCCCTATTTAATTTTTTCAAATAAAATTTTCCACTGCTTTTTGTTTCTTCTAATTCTCTGTTCAAGATGAAAAGAACGTGGAATCCAATTCCAGAAGGACAGACAATACAGAACCCTGTAACGTTTATTTGGCAAGCCACTTTTAGAAGGAGCTTCTGATAACGAGATTCTGCCTTACTCCAGAAAGGCCATCAAGAAATCAAATAGCCAGGCATGGTGGTGCACATTTGTAATCCTAGCACTTGGGAGGCTTAAGCAGGAGGATTACCATGAGTTCAAGGCCAGCAGGAACTACATAGGGAGACACTGTCTCAAAAAAAAAAAAAAAAAATCAAAACATGCTGGAAAGGATGGGGTGGGGGGACACTTTTACAATGTTGGTGAGAATGTAAACTAGTATAGCCATTATGGAAATCAGTATAGAGATTCCTCAAAAATTTGAAACTAGAAATTCCACTGACCCAGTTACTCCCCTTCTAGTTATCTTTTGGAAGGTTAAAGACATCACATTACAACGGAAGATTCATACCCATGTTTATAGCCGCACAATTCATAATAGTTACATCTTGGAAGCAGTCTATATGTCCATCAAGAAGTGAATGGATAAAAAATGTGGCATGTATACATGAGTACTACTCTGCCATAGAGGATAAACTTGAGTCATTTGTAGGAAAATGGATACACTTTGAGGCCATAATGTTAAGTAAAATAAATAGACACATAAACTTAAATATCACACCGTTTCTCTTATATGAGAAACCCAAAATATAAAGAACAAAATAAAAGGTGGTAGGAAATAGGTACATAGGTCTGTTACAAAAGAGAATGGGATAAAGTGATGGAGGGAGGGGAGAGGCAGAGGCAGAGGCAGAAAAGGGGATGAAAGAAAGAAGTTATGTACATGCACCAACTCCCCACAAGGAATGTAATCACTATGTATCGCAAACATGTACCAATAAAAAAGTAAAATTCTAAAGCACAAAATAGTCTATCATGTTTATTCAACTATTTATTTTGTAATCTTTTAGTGTTACGATTTCTACTGACATCTGTCCTTGTACATAGAAGATAAATGCCTGAGTCAAGGGGCCATAATTTTTTTTAAACATTCTTTTTATATTTCTATTGGCTATCTCGCCAAGCTGGACATTACACACAATCACACACACACAACCTACCTAAAATGGCAGTTTTTCACTTTGTAATCCTTAGATTACTAATAAGCCCAAGTAGTTTCCTGTCTTTTAGCTATTCATATTTAGCTCCTGTCTGGTTTCTCCCATCCTTATCCCCTCATTAGGTGGGATTTTTCAGAGATGGCTGGATCCAAGGTGTGTGGTAGTGGGATTAAGGGTGTGCAATAACGAATGGGTTACTTCTGGGTGTGGATAATGGAACCCCTATCCTGGATGTGAGTGACACCAATCAATTGGCTTATAGCCTGGATGGAATATATATAAAGAGAGAAACACTTGCTTCCTTAGGGACCACACTGATGGGAGAGGACATAGCTTTCTTCCCAGGGACCCGCCCCCACCTGCTCCCCTCCCCCAAGCTGCTTTGCCAAAGGCTGCACATGCAGGTGGGCCTTGCACAGATGACAATGGCATGTCACTGTAGTAGGGTCCTGGAGCCCCTGCCCAGTTCATGGGCCAGACTTCTCAAGAATAAGAGAAAAATGCTGTGGGCTGCCAGTTTTGGCCCTGGTCTTAAATGGTACTGCTCACTGGAGATACAAAGTCACTACTGATAGTGTTCTTCAGCTGTTTCTCTTGTGTTGTGGTTTTGTTTTAAATCATGATTTAGAGCTGAATCATAAAATGTCCTTATTTCAGAATACTGTACTTTGCACAACATAGATTTGTTTAAAAAATAAAACCCAATAGGTAGAAAAAAAGAAATACAACTATTATTTGCAGATGTACAGTTTTGTTTTTTGAAACAGGGTGTCACTATGTAGCCCAGGCTGGTCTTGAACTTGCAGTGATCCTCCTAACTCAGCCTCCCAAGTGCTGGGAATAGACATGCACCACACCTGGTTTAGACAATACACTTTTACCACAAACAGAACTGAGAACTTAATGAAAATTAAGAACATCCAGTGAGATGGCTAGTTACACAAATATATTTTTAAAAACTTTTCTATGTAAGAATAAGCAACTAGAAAAGTATAATGGGAGAAGCTATTTACAGTAACAAAATTGCACAGAACTTTAATGAAAAAATAGAAAAATTTACTCAGATACATAATACTGTAATAATGTAGAAAAGCATGTTTTTTGATGGGAAACAAAATCTATAAACATGAATAAACTTTCTCAAATAGTTTATAGAATGAACGCCTTCAACCCAAAATACCAATGTAAGACTTCAGGAAACAAAATGAAGCAAACTGACCAAGAATCCCTAACTGCACCACAGCAGGGGTCCTGTGAAGGCACCGCTGACTCTGCCACCAAGCAGAAAGCACAGGAGGGTCTGGTTTGCAGGAGGTCAAAGACACCAACAATACATTACAATGGAGACACTTGGAATCCTGTTTCTTGTGGGGTAATAGGAGATAATCAGAGACATAATTTCTTAAAACTGGTTTGGGCGGTAGTAAGCGCTCTATTGCCAAGAGTTTCATGGAGCCATAAAGCAGAATTAAGTCTAAGTACGGTTATTGATTAGTCATGGATCCACACCAGCTTTTTCCCGTATTCAGGTTCATCCCTACTGTTCAGGCTCCTCAGGCGTCCTTCCTAGCAGGCGAAGTCTTGGCTTAGCAGAGGGATAAGATCCTCAAGAGTTATCCACGAGTAGGACTGGATGGCTAGACCTAAGTGATCCAAACGCTTTTGGCAATGGAGAGGCACAAGACAGTTGTTTGAAAGATTAATGCCTGAACAAAACACAGAAAGAATAGTACACACAGTATGAAAAGGATTTCTGTAAAACAACCAATTCTCACCATAAATTGCAAATGTTATTCAAATTGATAGTTATTTTAGATTACATACACATGACAGTAAGTCTCTGACATTCAAAAGCTGCAGTTTTCCTACATTCCAAAGTAAACAATTCAACACTCAAATTTTATCAGGGTGTTCAGAGGATTACATGAAGTGCTATGAGAACCTGCTGCTCTAACAAATCAGTAGTTTGCTTGAGAGAAACACAGGTCCAGATAAGGACCTTGGTGTTATTTCTCAAGTGTAAATTCCTGTGTGTGTTTGTGTGTGTGTTCTATTTCAATAAAAACACAGGTAAGCAGCCCCAAGCCAAACACATTCAAAGTCTTCTTGGAAAATGGATGTGTGATCGATATACTGTTGTACAACTTCACTAAAAATGCTCTTTAGTCCAAAGAGCCGGGAAGATGCTTTCTTCCCTGGGAATTCACTAAGAATTTGAGGTTTCGGCCAACATGGGTATTCATCCCAACCTTGACTCTCATGAGGTTTTCAAATATCTGTATCTTTTTAAGCAGCCTAGGAATTCAGAATTCCTTACAAAACTTTTTGGGCTGCAGCAGGATCTGTCCTGGTCTCACTTGTGCTTTCGGTTCTTACATGCTGAGTGGGTTCTCTCATGCCGGGTACAGTTCGACAGTCTACCAAATCTTCTCCCACAGTTTCTGCAACTATATGGTCTCTTGGCCTCATGATTCTGCAGATGAAGCACCAACTCTTCATTCTTTGGGAAGGTTTTCCCACATTCTGGACACTTAAATATCTTCTCTCTTACATGGATTCCTTCATGACGACTTCGATGAGAATTCTGACGAAAGTGTTTCCCACACTGAGAACAGGAGTAAGGCTTCTCTCCTGTATGAATTCGCTCATGTTTATTGAGGTTTGTTTTATGATTGAAGCTTTTCCCACAGTGGCTACAGTCATAGGGTTTCTCTCCAGTGTGAGTCCTCTGGTGGGAAATAAGGTAAGAACTTTCATTAAACTGTTTCCCACACAGTGGACAAGTGTACCACCTCCTTGTTCGCTGATTTCGAGTAAGAGCAATAACACTGATGTCCACATATTTTGAGAGCTCCTCTAGTGGAGTATCATTTTTAATGGTAATTAAAAGATTTCTCAATTTCTTTTGCTGTGGAACAGAGGAATTTACTCTTTCTTCGAGGCAACCTGAAGGCTGCTCAGAAACCAAGAGACAGTCCATCCCATCACTATCTGAAGACTTTTCTCTACAATCTTCCTTCTGAAGATCTTCACCTGCAGGACTACTGTCATTAACTATTGAAAGAGAGAGAGAATGTAGTAACTTTTCAGGGATATGACAATACCAGGCAAGAAAAAAACAAATTAAATTCCTCATGAGATAATAACCTTGAAAGACAGAAACTCTGAGGACTCACAGATAACCACCATCAACTCTTTTTCCATTCTTATTTTAGATGAGCAATAGAGCTCCCCACTCTCCTACACTGTGAACAAACAGTCCTAGTTTTACTTTTATGGGAAAACAGAATGAATGGGATAGCAAGGAAAGATTTCATCTCTGTTTCTCAAGAGGCAACAATTACTCAAGTTCATAATGATCTTACATTTTGTGTAGAACAGTCAGTCAAGGGGATGAAGGACATACACAGAGAAAGGCACCACTCATAATCTTCAGGACTCAGATGTTTGCTACATGAAATTTTACAATAATATACCACTGATAATAGTGTAAGGTCCTATACACAAGGAAAAGCTGGAAATAATTCAAATGACCAAAATTAATGAAGGCATAGCATGTTCACACAAGTGATTAGTACTTGGCCATTGAAGTGATTACTATGACTGATAAAATGAAACTATGATATTAGAGATCAACAGTATTTTCGGGAATAAAGGGGAGTGGTGACTGAAAGGGGCCTAAGAAAGATTTTTGGTGTGCTTGGGACGGTAATTTTGGATGATAAATGAGTATGTACATTTTATAAAAATCTGAGTTGTACACTAAAGATATGTAGGCTTTTCTATATTAGTATTAAACTTCAAAATAAAGTCTAATGGGTTATCAACACTAGGTAACCAAAAAAAAAAAACACCTCTGAACAGGTAGGCTGACAAGGAATTCCTAACTTTGGAGAACTGGTAGAGAATGAAGGGTTTAAATCAACCATTTAGATGTGGCTGCTCCAGAAGGTAGAATGTGAATCTCTTCAGGATTCAGCAGTTTTATACCAACAGATTTCCTTCTTTTCAGTCGCTCCCTTATGATAATGAAAATGCTGGGTTAAAGCCTAGGGTGATTTGTATCATACATCACTTTCCAAAGGTGTACCAATTTTAATATAACCATCATGATGTAAATATCAACTTTAACCCTCATTGCCAGTATGAAGTTTAAAAATATTTAGTAGGTATAAAATTATTGTTGTTTAACCTTTCATTATATAAAACAGTAACTTATTTAATTTTATAAATTTAACAATTTTATATATCAAAGATCTTTATCAATCATTGATGTAAACATATACTTATTTTTATTTTTGTTTGTTTTGTTTTGTTTTTTTTTGGTTTTTCTCCGGTACCGGGAACCGAACTCACGACTTTGCGCTTGCCAGGCAGGCGCTTTGCCGCTGAGCTAAATCCCCAGCCCCTATACTTATTTTTAAATGAATGAATTTTGGGGGAGTGGACAGGGTCTCACCATGTAGCTCAGCCTGACCTCGAACTCATGGTGATCCTCCTGCCTCAGTCTCCTGAGTGTTGCAATTACAGGCATGCACTTTTTTTTTTTTTTGAGACAGGGTCTCACTATGTAGTTTAGGCTGACCTTGAACTCACTGTGTAGCCCAAGCTGGCCTTGTACTTGTGGTGATCCCCTGCTCAGCCTCTTGAGCGCTAGGATTATAGACGTATGCCACCACGCCCACCTCATTAAGGCAAATATTTAAGAATCTGAACTCAACATTAAAATCAGAAGGAAAAAAAATACACCAGTCTTTCAAGATACGACAATGCTCTGTCCTATTTTCTAGCCACTTGACAATTTTCTTTTACATTATGATACAGATATCCCAGCTCTACTTACAACCATCTCATTTTCACCCTGTTTTGTAATGTTGTTTACATTACCCTTATACAGGGGGCTGGGAATTTAGCTCAGCGGCAAAGCGCCTGCCTGGCAAGCACAAGATCATGAGTTCGGTTCCCAGTACTGGAGAAAAACCAAAAAAAACCAAAAACAAACAAACAAACAAACAAACATTACCCTTATACATAACTGGACTCTATTTGGGCTATTTTTCATTATTTCATTATTTAGGCCAAGATTATACCACCAATGGCTTATTATCATTTTGTAATATGTCTAATATTGGTAAAACCAGTTGGAAAAAATATGTATTGAGATGCCTTACTCCAACTCCTGTTTCTGTTCTATCCATTCTCTACTTTTTATTAGTTTTTAAAAATAATTTTGATTCTTCAGACAATATTTTTTCTTTTTTGAGGCAGGGTTTCACCAAGTAGGGCAGGCTGGCCTCGAATTTGCTACCCAGGCTATTCTTGAACTCAAGGCAATCCTCCTGCCTCATCCTCCTGAGTGCTGAGATTACAAGCATGCACCAACATGCCCAGCCTCTTTTCTTATATAAAATGTAACATTATGTATATTCCTGCTACTTGGTTTTTTCTAATTATTAAGTCTAGGGTGTATTCAACCAGTTTCTTACAGAACTGGATTGTTTCTAACATTTTTTCAAAACTAATGCCATAACGAATTAACATGTTTTAAAAGTATGCTGCTGCTATTTCTGTAGGTCAGGGTCCCAGAAAGAGAACTGCTGGACTCACAGACAATGCATTTATATAAGAGAAGTTGCAAAATCATACAAGAACTGTACCACTCTTCACACCTACCTCAGAATGCCTGTTGCTTAACAATTTCACCGCCAATGTGTTGTTTTGATTTCTGTACATCTGAGACTTTCCCAATTTACTGTATCTTGTTCACATATGTATTTCTTTCTTATTTTGCCATGCATATTTTCTTAATTTTTTTCTTTCAAAGCTTCTACACTTTTGAATCTTAATTACAAAAGCCCCTCTACCCTAATAAGGAATTCACCTACACTTTTTTTCCTTTTGCTTATTTTGTTTTTGAGAAACAAGCCTTGCGGCATAGTGCAGGCTGGCACTGAACTCATGTAGCCCAGGCTGCCCTCAAACTCATGGCAATACCGTCTCAGCCTACTGGAATCACAGGTATGCACCATCATTCCCAGCTTCACCTACATTTTTAAACTATGTTTTTATGTTTATGTGTTCCCTTGTTTGAAACATTTACAATGTTCAATCCATTTGGAGTGCTTGGTATGTAAAGCAAGGTAGTCTTCATCAAACAGCATCTGGATTGTCCCAACATTTTTTACTAAAAAGTCCCTCTTTCTGGCAGCAGTGGTTCATGTCTGTAATCCCAGCTACCCTGGAGCCTGAGGCAAGAGAATCACAAGTTCAAGGCCAGCTGGAAAATTTAGGGAGATCCTGTCTCAAGATAAAATTGAAAAGGCCATTGTGTTCTCTTGTGCATGTTGTCCCTCTCTCATGCTGTAGGGTGTACTTCTTTTCATTCCTTTACTTGGCCGAAACACTCTGCAGAGCCTGTTTCTTTTCCTACCTTTAATAAAACTTTGCTACCACTAAAAAAAAAAAAAAATAAGGGCTGGGATGGAGCTCAGTGGTAGAGTACTTGCCTAGCATGCAAGAGGCCCTGGAGTAATCTCCAATATGCGCCCCTGCCACACCTCCCTTTACTTTGCTGATGTAAAATACCAACTTTATGACATATTAATTCTCATGTTTTGGTGGCCTTTATGGACTTTTTACTTCATCCATTTATCAGTCTACTCATAGCAATACCACACTGTTTGAATTATAGAGTTTTGGGGGATGCTTTAATATCTGACAGGCTGTTATGGTATGGATCTTAAGTGTCCTCCAAGAGCCAGATATGCTAAAGGCTTGGGTGCCAACCTGCAGCACTATTAGAAGGTGGTGATACCTTTGGGGGGTGGGGCCGAGTAGAAAGAAGTTAGGTTATTGAAGATGTGCCCTTAAAGGGGATATTGGGATCCTGGCCTCTTCCTCTCTGCTTCCTGGCCACAATAAGATGAGCAGCTTTCCTGTACCATGTGCTCTTTGCCACAAGGTGCTGCCTCACCACAGACGCAAAAGCAACAGGGTCAGCTTACCACAGACTGAAACTTCTAAACCTGTATGCCAAAATAAACATTTCCTTCTTGTAAGTTATTCACCTCAGCAATTCCATCACAGCTACACAAAGCTAACACACAGAACTAAAAACTCTACTGTTCTTCCATTTTTGTTGTTTAAATGTACTTATTTTTCCAACTGAATTTCAGGTTGATTTTCCAGTTCCAGTGGTAATTTTTTTGGGGGGTGTCTTTTTGAGACAGGGTCTCACTATGCAGTTCAGGTAGCCTTGAACTCACTTTGTAGCCCAGACTGGCCTCAAACTCCTGGCAACTCTCCTGTCTCAGCCTCCCAAGTGCTAGGATGACAGGTGTGTGCCAACCATGCCTGGCTCCAGTGGTAAAATTTTATTGGTATTGTTAAAAGGATCACATTTTCATAAATCAATTTTTTTTTGTACCAGGAATTGAACTCAGGACCTTGCACTTGCCAGGCAGGCACTGTGCTGCTGAGTTACATCCTTGGCCCTCATAAATCAGTTTTATGAGAAATGATCTTTTTATGATGTTGCATCTACATAGGCTAAAACATGGTATTTCCATTTATTCACATTTACTTTTGTCCTTCTGAAGTTTCCTCATAAACTCTGATATTCTTTATTACTAGGTACTTAATAATTAATGTTTCTATTTTAGTGGAATCTTCACTGCATCATTTAAATGTTGGCATATGAAAGCTAATGATTTATATTTATTAATTTTTCGTGTGGTACTGGGGATTGAACTTAAGGCCCTTTGCATGCTAGGCAAGCATTCCACCACTGAGCTACATCCCCACAGTCCACATTTATTAATTTTATATCCCACTGCCTCACATTTGAATGATCTTACTATTGGTAGAATGTCTTCACACATTCTTTATGGTTTTCCAAATGCAATTTGTTTTTCTAGTACTTGGGATTGAACCCAGTACCTAATGCATGTTATGGTTTACATTTCTAGCTGTCTCTGCAAAGTCTCATGCGCTCATAGGCGGGGCTTCTGGGAGGTGAATGGATCAGGAGGGCACGATACTCATCAGTGAATGAA